TGGCCTGAATTTGTACAAATATTATTTTCTATTTTATGGTGTGGTGTGGTCTGTTTATCTGGTATATAAACAAAGTATGTTTGGAATAAACGATTCGCATAACCGAAGCTGCTATTGGTTTTCTGGACTCAAGTGGACGGGCTAGGCGGGTTAAGGACTAATTAGGACGCGAGATTACTCATACTGATTGGACGTCCTTGATTGTCACCGTGTGAAGGTCAGAGAGTCGTATTCTATTGGTGGATAATTTACGCAAATTACGTCCTTGTTTAATTCGTAAGGTCATAACAAATTGACGACGACCTTGTTCAAGACATAACGATTGGCTACAGCCTTGGTCAAGTCATAACATGTCTCACATTATACATTATATTCTAACATTTAATTGTTTCATCCAAAAATTATGATTATCATTTTCAGAAGGGGATTTTGTTGAGATTGGATTAAATGTTTATCGTTGAGATCGTGAGTCAATTGAAGCTAGACCACCGTGAAAAGCCTGAAATTACTGGACGACCTTTTCGTCCTATTGTGGGACTCTTCAACGGTTAACATCCACAATCCCGCCTTTTGAAATTCGAACCCAGAACCTATCAGTCTAGCGCGCGAGCGCTTGACCTTTTTACCACTGAGCTGGAGTCCCGCACTAAAATAAAACGGCCGTCCAGTGCTTACGGGTTTTCCACGGTGGTCTTGCTTTAATTGACTCATGTTCTGAACTATATTAGATTATCATTTTATTAGTAAGTTGTGAGCAGAAGTTTATCGTAGAGAGAAGAAAACGTATTGTTTGTTCAATTATTCATTTAGAAATAATAAGCAGAGAATGAACTCGACTATTATTATTATCATTATTACTACCAATATCATTGTCATTAGTGATATTACTATTATCTATTCAGGTAATCTAAAGTGTAAAGCGTGACAATGGTTTATTTTATAGAATAATTATGTTGGATACACTCTGATCAAAATCCATTTTCCAGAACATTTTTTTCCATCAGGGCGACCATGTCAATTATTATTATTTACCATTATTATAAATGAATGGAGTTATTAATGAATGAATTATTTTCATCTATTTAATTATTTCTTTACTTATAACTTGTTGGCTTAATTTGTAGATCATATATTTATCATAGATTGATCTCACTTTTGGATACTGTTGAAATCTGAGACATCTGAAACTCTTAAATTCGATCACTCACAAAATCGCTAATGCACACTGCTAAGGAATTCTATTACTTACTTACTTACACCTGTTACTCCCAATGGAGCATAGACCGCCGACCAACCCACTTTTTCCTGAACCTTCCTTTCTAGTTTTATCCAGTTCTTGTTCATTCTTCTCATGTCTGTTTCCATTTCTCGGCGTAATGTGTTCTTTGGTCTTCCTCTTCTTCTTTGGCCTACAGGACTCCATGTGAGTACTTTTCTTGTGACACAGTCGGGTGATTTCCCCAACGTGTGTCCTATCCACTTCCAGCGCATCCTCCTGATTTCTTCCTCCACTGGAATCTAGTTTGTTTTCTCCCATAGTAGGTTGTTGTTGATAGTGTGTGATCAACGGGTTCGAAGTATCTTGCGTAGACAACAGTTAATAAACACCTGTATCTTCTGAATGATGGCATTCGTGGTTCTCCAGGTTTCCGCCACGTACACTAGAACTGTCTTCACATTCGTATTGGATTGGTTGGCAATCGTTTTGAGTTCCAGATGTTCTTCAGTTGTAGATATGCTGATTTGCTTAACTAATTCGTGCCTTCACATCTGCATCAGATCCACCGTGTTCATCAATGATGCTGCTCAGATAAGTAAAGGTTTCCACATCCTCCAAAGCTTCTCCGTCAAATGTGATTTGATTGATGCATGCTGTATTGTATCGGCGAGTTTTGCTTCTCCCTTTGTGTATATTGAGACCTACAGATGCTGAGGCTGCTGCTACACTGATCGTCTTCTGCATTTGATGTTGTGTTTGTGATAGAAGAGCCAGATCATCCGCGAAGTCTAAATCGCCAAGCTGCACCCTAGCTGTCCACTGTATCCCGTGCTTCCCTCCAAATGTTTACGTTTTCATAATCCAGTCGATCACCAGGAGAAAGGGATTTTATACTAGAATAAAATAGTTGCTCATTTTTATTTTGTTTTTCAGTGGTATTCCAATTGAAATTAATCCGTGATGAAAAAAGCGCATAAAATAAACCAGCCACGTCCAGAAAACCTTTCTCACTGAACTTAGTGGTTTATTTATTAGGTATTGGGAGTAATGGTGGCTGATGTAAGAATTCAAATCCAGTCTTATCTAACTACGTTTACCACTATCATATATACCCTTAAAATTTTCAAGTTTTCATTCATCTTTCACTCATTAATTATTTTACTAACTTTATGGTGAAAATTATATATTAAATACGTCATGTGCTAATCTTCTTCGAATTGTCTCTTGAAAGCTTCATTGTTATCTTAACTGATTTCAGCTTCCTTCTCTCTTCTCTTCACTTCAATTTTCTGTCCTCAGATATTCCACTTCCGACTTGTGTTATATACTACTTAGATCTGCAGACATAAGTAGCAACCAACACAACTGTGCAAATGATTTTTTGAGGTTTTCGGGCATCTGTTTCTATCACTCCAAGGAATATACACATATTGGAGAATTTTAAATCGTTATCGGTTCACAACTTATGACCAGATATCATTTAAATTAGGTACACTAGAGAGTGTTTACTATGGTTGCTCATATTTTCACGGGATATTTTCACTAATTCTCTATTAAATGTTTATGCTGTCCTTATTCAACTTCCTAATCATATTTGGACTATGATACTTAATTAATATGCATCTGTAAGGCGAAGACAGTAGAATAATACTGTTTGAATAGCTTGAGGGGCTATATATTAGTTTTCGAGATGGTGTTTCGCTCTTTTCAATGATTTCGGTAGTATCCGTTTTCTAGGGATTATTATATCGTTCGAGGTTCAAACTCATGACTCATTGATTAAATAATAAATTCGTTAACCATCTCTCCATAAATGTGAAACTCTTGACACTTCATCTAATGACTTTTAAGTATTAAAATAATTCTAAGGATAATGATGGTGGATAGCAATGTAATCCAGGACGTGTATTTCGTCCTATTTTGGACTCGTCATCCTGATGTACCTGCATCCCAGAGTTGTTGTTAACTCCGGGACCCAAGCCCAGTATCATTGGCTTCAAACACAATCGCGTTATCATCTTTGTTTATAATCCTTTTGGATTAAGGCATTATCAAGGCGACCCTCACAGGATGCACGTCTGCCAATGACAGTCCCAAACATCATTGGAAAGTTATCTACAACGTTTTCAGTATGTTCACTAAGTGTATTGTATTCATCAATTTCAGTTATTTTCGTGTCCATTTAGTTGGTAGTTGCTGCGTATTAGAATGTAATTTCCAGTGATGATTTAATTTTTAGCTCTATTTTTTTCCCTACTATATTTGTGTTCTTCATTTGACATTTTGGACTAAATCACATTGTATGTGTTCATAATAGACAATAATGGATAACTGTAACTGTATTTCTACTCGATTATCTTCTTTTAGTTTTAAACTAACGATACTACTTACATATATCAATATTATGGTTATCACGTTTAAATTCACTATAGTATACAATAACTATACTTTGAAACTAGAAAGAAAAGTATCGAAGGGGTATGATGATAATGATTTATGTAATGAATAAATATTGGATTTTGTTGTTTCCCCTCCATATACACATATACACATAAATGCGTTTTACCCTTTTTTTTATGTATCGTCATTATTGTAATATCGTTAAGCACACGGAATAATGATTAATTTGCATTGTTTCTTGCGATATTTATACAATTACACTCGGTCTCTCTCGTTATATGACATCAATCATTTGTTGTTATGGTGATAATAATGATTGAACCTAGTCAGATGTGACTTTGTATTATCATACATCACGTACTAACATAAATGTACTGAATAGTGTTTCTTTTCTTTTTACTGCGTATTGTGAAAATTTTTGTGTCACTAGTGCGTTATCTGTGTAGTGTTTTTTAAAAATATTATTCTTCCTATTACTTGGTTTTTTAATGTCAGTTTCATATATAAGTTTGACTACTATAGTATTCATTGATCTGGTTTTGATGAACTTGGTATTATGGTTGTGACTGGTAAAAGTAAGTCCTTGGCTAAAGTCATTACTGACAGTTTCATACTCACAATTTATAATATCTTTAGGAGTTTGAATACCATTTGACGAGATAAGCATTAAATAACACAGAAATCACTGAATAGACGTTTCTCGCTTCATCTATTATTTCGTCCGAGATGGAACAATAGACTTGCAGATCTTTAATTTGGTAATCAATGATGAACAATAAAGACTTCAGTATATTGAGAGGCCAATTTAACATCTATCAGTAATCAGTCACTGTTAAGACAATCAAAGCTTCACATTTAAACCACCTAGTTCAGAGAATCCAACTCTATCAAAACCAGTTGTAACATTTCAAATTGTGATGTTGAGTTACGTGATTTGGAATTCTACAGAGAGTATCCATTCCTTAAAATGTTATAGATACGACTTGCTAATAAGATTTCCTGTTGCTTACCTCCTAACGTTAACCTGTTGGTTTATTTATAAAATACTTCACTTGATTAGCAGGACTTCTCGGTCCAGTCCTTTGAAATTTCGTAAACGTATCCTCTTAAACATTCGTATAAACTCAAGTGGCTTAATTAGTTAGATGCTTCTCTTCATAAAAGTTGATTGTCCACTGTCTTTATCATCATTTGCTTGAAATAAGTCAGTGAACTATCTGATTTACTTCGTTTTCTACTTCGTATTAGTATTCCTCACTTCGTAACACTTTCTTCCTACCGCTAAATATTATTGTATTTATTGAAATAATGTCCGTATAAAAACCAACTATTTTTAATCTTAGATATACTTTATTATTTGTATAAAATTGTGCTTCTCTAGGTATCAGCCAGTGTATTACGTAATCTCAGTTGGCGTACAGATAGTAGAAGTAAAGCTGCACTTCGTCGTGTTTGCGCTGCTAAACGTTTAACTATAGCTGCTATGAGTGCACAACGAGAAAGTACTTTGAGAACTACACTTAGTGCACTATGGAATCTTAGCGCTCATTGTTCTCAGAATAAGCGAGCTGTATGCAGGTAAAGTGTACTTATGATTTACTCAATTTTAATACATTATATATATATATATATATATATATATATATATATATATATATATATATGAACTTTCCCCTTTAGGATGTAATGAATACTTCCCAATCTGCTGTCTTATCAAATGCAATGTGGTCAGTCAGTCAGTAAGTCACAACGTAGTACTTCGTACGTACATACATCAGTTCGAGTTGTCATACCACATTAGCACAGAGATGAAGTTGTCGATTCAAATCCCATAATGGTAGAAGTAGTAAGAGTATAAGCAGTAATCGGAAAGATTAGGGTTTGAAGATGTTATTGAAGGAGTATAATACAATGAAATAAATTTGGAAAAAGAAAAAGGATAGGGACTGTTATATCGCATATTCGAACTGCATTGCCTCTACTTTAGTTCTGACTTCCAAGTAAATAGAATTTAGGAATAAACATTTAAAAGAAAAACAAAATTCTTTAGACAAATTTTCTTAACAGTTGAAAGATGGACGCAATTCGAAATTGCGAATGAGGTCACCAGATATTCTTTATTTAACAATATTTTGTGAACGACATGTAATATTATAAACTTAAACACGATGGCGTTTATAGCGTAAAGTCCTAGGTTCTAGTGTCAGTGTGAATATCCCTAGGACGCAAGTACCATTGCAGTTGACAAGTCTCAAATTGAATGAAACACTTATCTTGTATTCCACATTACTTAAATGTAATAATATCAGTTTGGAATATCATTTCAAACCTGAAATCTAATCTTTTTCTCTATCATTTTTCATTCCAAGTGTGGATGGTGTATTCGCATTTCTTCTAAGAATGTTACATCTTCAAAACCCTATGGAAAATTTGGTAATTATTGAAAATAGTGGTGGTATTTTACGTAATATATCCACAATTATCGCTTCTCATGATGATTATCGGTGAGTTTTGTTATTTGTGTAGAAGAAATGATTGAATGTCCTGTTTCATTTTGGCTATATGTAGTCATGCTTAGATTTCTAAAAGTAGTAAGCATCAAATAAATATGATGAAAGTTCTGTTATTCAATACACATCACTAACATTCTCTAAAGGTGATAACCTGATATATTCGCTCGAACTATGTTTTGATAGTCGCAGACGTCCTGTTTTGGCATTCGCGTGATAATTTTGATCGATGGTCAAAGGGACCCTCAGTAGTATGGCTTAAATTTAGTCTTTATGTAAAAAGTGGATTCATTCACTATTCTTCCTTAAATTCTAAGTTTCCATATTGCTTCATATTTTCCATTCAGTGAATGCACTCCGTATTTTTTAAACTCAATATTCTTTATGTTTATTGTTTGTAATGTCATTGATATTACGTTCGTAATGTGTTAACCTAGACGAATAAACATTTGTGTCAATCCCCCCCCAAATGCCCTGGTACGACCGAGAGTGGGAAGAGTCTGCTCTCCCTCTCGAAATGCCCTCACATGGCCACACGAATATATAGCCTCTGCCAGGGAAGTCCTACTCACTGCCTTCTCGTGGCGGGGGTGTTGTTCACAAAAGTGAGAGGACGAAAAGCGAATATCCAGCGCTTTAACCGGGTTGGTGGACACGGAAAGTTCACCTAGGGGAGTTGGAAAACCCTGATTCCAAACCAATAGTGCACATGGGCTCAAGTATCCTGAAGGAACGAATGGCGTATGAACCAACTGTTGGTCACCGGCTATCATGGGATTGCATCTCCTTACGATGTTCCACTGCCTTGTGGATCACATCTTTAGGTCAAAGGCTTGGGGTGTTGCCCCGTATGAAAACCACCTGCTTCAGTCTGGTCACCTGAGCAGTATCACAGCCCTCACACAAATCAAGTGAGATTTGTGCTGCGCATATATATCTTGTGCTTTTTTATATCAATATTTATGTGTTTAAATAAATAAAAAATAACTCGACTAAATAACCATCTGCTTACTAAACGTAAACTTTAATACTCATCTACATCATTGGCGCATCTTTGCGTTGTTCCTTACATTCTCCATTATTCCTCTCATTCCGTTGTTATTTGGATTGCTCTCCAATTTCCTTTCTATTCTCTTCGATTCAATCTTCTGCTGCTCGGTATTCAACTTCCTATTGCGGCTTCATACTACTTATGTTTGTCTTTATAAGTAGCATGCACCACACGGATACTTTTATGTACAGTAGTCAATAACAGTTATTTTGAATGTATAGTTGTATGATTTAAATGGAAATGTGCAGCACTGACTCAATCATTTAATTTTTGATCACCAATTCATATGTTCAAACAGTCTTTTAAATTTATTTTTGTTTAAATCAACCGGGTGTCCTTAGTTTCTTCGCACAGTAAGTACAACACATCTGGTTTAAAAATTTATCTCGACAGTCAATCCAATAAACAATCTTTTTGATGATTGAGTAGAAGTTTAAATATCAGTTTAAATGTTGTATAAGTTAGTTGATTGCTCGTAATGAATAAATCTGTACATTCTCTCTGTGTGTGCTTATTTATAATGATGAATGTGTTGTTATCCATTCTGTTTGTCTTTAGGTCTATGCTTCATCAAAATAATGCTTATCCAATCCTCTTGGAACTATTACGTAATCCACCAAGTTTAACAGTTGTAGTAAATGTATGCGGAACATTATGGAATTTAACATGTCCTTCCGTCAATAATGTAAACACTATGCCAATTAGTAGTGACAACAACAGTAATACTACTACTAATAATAATATCGTCAGTAGTTATAATGATCGTTTACTTCTTTTACACTTAGGTGCATTAGATTTAATACAACAGTTAACTCAATCGAAACATGATTTGATACGTACTAGTTCACTAGCTGTCTATCGTAATCTAATACAGACAGATAAACCTGCTAATCAGAATCATTTGATTCCATCACTGTGTAATTCAGATCAAGTTAATTCACAAGAAAATCAACTCAGTGAGTCATCATCACCGATAACAACCAGTATGACCATAAGTTCTCATGAGCATCATTCGGTAAGTAATGAAAAAAACCCATGCACCACTATTGATGGTCGTAACAGTGGTGGTGATACATACTATAATGTCAATAATTCAGCACAGACAAGTGCAGAACAACAACAACAACCAACATGTAAACGTCGTGTGTCATCAAGAACATCTAGACTTCGTTTTGGTCTGTTATCTGTAGTATTTGAAGCGGAAAGTGACGATGAACTAGACGACGATATTGATAGTGATGATGTGGATGAAACTGAAGATGATGAAGTAGAAGTGGAAAATGTAGTTGAAGGTCAGACTAATGAACAAAATGAATATAATGAAAAAGTTGAATCTGAGCCAAATAACAATCTATGCTTATATTATCGAGGTGGAATACCTATCAGTGACCATTCTAGCTATCGAGATATCACTGTGAAAACATCAAGTAATCGAAATTCAGAAAGCTTATGTGATTCTCAACTTATGTTGTCTGAATCGACTAATCGTCGACATGATTTATCAGATTGGTACGATGAAATAAGTTGTCATGGACATCATCAAGTTAATCATAATGTTAATACGGCCGTTGATACAGGCGCGGATGATGAACAAACACGTGTTTATGCCGAAGAAGGTACACCGTTTCCCTCGAATTCAGCAAATACATCATCTTTGGAGTTGAATAGATCTGATGAACAGTTTTTAACGAATAAAGCAAATAATAACTTCAATACTGTTAATGATGTACATATAAGTCATAATAATAGTAACGATAACAATAATATACATAGTAATGTCCCAATTTTGATCTATCGAAATGATCCAATTCCTCATGTTTATGCTGTCGAGGGTACACCATCGAACTGTGATAGTAATTTAAGTCATGAGGATAGTATAAATAATAGTGAAGTTCAATTAAATACAATCGGATTCAGTCGCCCCCAAAAAATAAATTTTCTACCTCATTCCAACATTGTGAATGAACAAGAGGATAATACCTATCTGCCCTCACCACCGGAAGATATCTCGAATCTTGTCTCTCCATTAACATCAATGAATTTAGAAGTAGAGGGTGATCAATGTGTAACTTGTCATTTCCCTATGCCACCTCCACCAGTATCTTTTCCAATAGTTCATAAAGAATCCGAAGTGATTGGTAGAGAAAGTGAATTATTTTCTTCTAAACAAACACCATTAATATTCTCACGTGGAACATCATCATGTATGTCTTCATTAGACTTAGAAGTTCCATTTAACGGATATCAATCATCACCGGAAAGTGAATATTCCAGTCAACAAAAAAGTAGTAATAGCAGAGAGAGAATAAGTAGTGAATTAATGTCAATTAATCGTAATCATGAGGACAACGGTAGTAGCAGTAGTAACAGTAGTAGTAGTAAAAGAAATTGTCATTTCAGAAATATAAATCATAGTCAAAATTGTGTTGGTGAATTATATGAGACAGATAGTTGTCCTGATGAAGAAGATGTTCGATTACCTTTCGCCGAAGAAGGTACACCGCCACCTCCAAAAGATGATACAGAAAATTTGAATGCTTTGTATTTTCATCATTCACATTCTTATAAACAATCTGATCTGAGCAGTAATTTGAACAATGATTGTGAAGTGAACGAAGATGTTGATGATGATGAAGACGATGACAACAATGACAACAATAATCATTCACAAATATTACAACAATGTATAGCATCTGCAATGCCATCAAATATTCCTTATAATGTATTAACAGGTCACAAATCATCGAATATAAATTTTAATAACTCACCATCAACAGGTCTTCTTTACAATGAGCCAGAAGATTCTTTAAAAACATTCGCTGTAGAAGATACACCATTTGGGACTTCGACGAAAACTAGTTCACTAAATGATTTACTCACAACAGAACATAAACCATTAGAAGACGAAGAAGAAGGAGAATGTGAGGAAGGTAACGAACTAATGGTTGATAGTGATATGAATTCCCATTCGGCATCACCATTCAGTATAAAAATATCTAATCATACAATAAAGCATACTTCAAACAATTTAATCAAACAATGTCATACACAAAATGTTACTGTCAGTCATGGTGATGGTAGTTCATCAACATCAAGCTCCTTGAATGGTGATAATTCATCAGATTTATTATCTGAAGTAATACAATCTGCTATGCCAAAATCAGGTCAAATTAGATTATCTAATTTTTGTTCACCAATTGATCAATCATCATCAAATGATGACGATTGTTTGCAAATGTATGCAGTTGAAGGTACTCCATGTGTTGTCGGTCATGAGAACTTATTGTCAAGTTCATCTTCTCTTCGTCATGATGAAATAAGTATTCATTCAGCATTGTTACCAACAACAACAGATGCAATGATTTCTAATATGCCTTTAACTCTTGCATCATCATTGTCAACTGTTCCATATCAACAATCAAATACAACTCCTCCTATTCCACCACTTCGTACAACATCTGCATTAACTAGTATTGCAGATCCATTTACTCAAGTTTCTGGTTTAACAAGACCACGTGCAACAGTTGCACCAATGTTACAAAGTAAATGTCATTCATTAAATTCACCGATTGTTTCTCGTTCTCAAAGTAAGTATTATTTGAACATAATAAACTTTAAAAAATTTCATCGACCGTAGGTTTTGGAAAATCCCTCATACTGTATTTGTTTATGCTGTATTACTCTAAGGCTCTGTAATTTAATCATTGACTGTAAATGGCATAGGTGGGTGGTAGGGGTTTGATCATAGATATCTATGAAGTAGTAACAGTATTAGTGATAATAGAAAAGATTCTGTATTGGAGGTGCAACTTGAGACGAAAATATAAACTAGAGAAATAAAAGAAATTAGTAAGCTGCACCATTGTGAATGATTTTGAGTTTTAGAATTGTGCTTTCTATTCTGCTGATTATTTCTCCTCAAATCACAATACTCATACTTTATCTTTTCTACTAAAAGTAACCAACTGGCGCGCTATTGAGCGCTATTGAAACACTTCTGGGAAACAGCTTGAAACTTGATTCATCCATTTATCATCTTTATGAAGCTCATGATTTTTACAAGTGTTATATACATCACCAACGGATTTGATTTCCTGTAAACAGGGTACAATTACTACCTTCATCTGAGGTCTTCGGTTGAGATCCCACTACCAACTGTGATAAAGAGTGACAGCAGTAGGGTATTTCTCACAAATAACCAAGATATGTGGTGTTGCCATCTTCCCACAATGTAAGGGAAAGGACGAAAATTTCAACCCTAAAAATACCACACCTTACCTTTTAGTACCAATTGTCTGTACCGGTTGTAAAATCTCGAAAATACGAACCTTATGTATCAAAAACTATTCTCTAAAACTCGCATGTAACCGGCCTTAAGAAGTTTACCTAGTGTCACGCGTGCTGATCCATAAGGCCACCACTAAATTTACTTTCTAACCATCTCAAGAGCAAATATCCTTCTAATCTGTAGATAACCAAAAAGTGCCAACCTCCCACACACATGATACCACTCAAACGCATCTTGTTCACATATTCATCCGTCGATCACTGACTGAGAAATCCATTAATATCATGTCATTTTGTCTGCTGTGTTATGTTGCCGGGATTTGACTGATCACTTTGATTGTATTTAGATTAGTCCTAATCTATTTACTGGAAACTTTGACGAATATACCTTCAAATCAGTCTTATTAGTATGGTTGCGTTCACTTTTCAAAATCTTCATTAAAAACCTGTGAGCTTATTTTCAATTTTGTCATACCTTGTTGTGCCGACGACGTATAGCAACTTGGACCGATGCATAAATGTGCCTGATCCTACGTTGTAGCTGACTGACTATTTGTGCATCTAATGTTTAGTTTTTCAATAACATTGGTGTCATTACAACTTTTGTTGTTTTTCAACTTATCAATTCTTACTCACTATGCTAGTTTATGTAGTAACATTTTTAATTGATGTAAATTTGTTGTTTATGAATGACTGAATAACTTTTCAATTTACACTGCCAGATAAGTCCTACTCACTGCCTTCTCGTGGCTGGGGTGTTCACGAAAGTGAGAGGACGAAAGCGAATATCCGGCGCTTTAACCGGGTTGGTGGACACAGCGAGGGGAGTTGGAAAACCCTGATCTCTTCACGATGCTCCACTGCCTTGTGAATCGGATCTTTAAATCAAAGGCTCCGGTTGTGTCCCCCTAAGAAAACCACCGCTTCAGTTAGGGCACCTGGACAGTATCACATCCCTCACACAAATTAAATGAGATTTGTGTGGCGCATATTTATCTGGTGCTTCTTTGTACCAATATTTATGTGTTTAAATAAATAAAATAAAAATATACTTCACACTGTACTTTACATTTAGTTTACTGTTAGGATTGGCTAAAAGCAGTTGACTGAAATTTCTATGCTCAGGTTTTAAGTTGTTTGATTTATTTACAAAGTCTTTGGATATTTGAATAAATGGAATTTAGTGCTATATTTGTTGCCAATTAGTAGGTTTTCAGCCTTGGATTTATGTTCTGTGATGTTTAATCAAAAATAGGAATCTGTGAGGACTGCATAACATGTTTTTTGGTCATATGTATACGTCTTGCTGATAAGTGTAATCAGAGTAAAACCGAGGTCCGAATTTCAATCCGATTGCCTCGAGTAATCTAGAATCGTTTTGTTATTGAAAAATCCCACGTTTTCTAGTACACTACATATTATTTTGATCATTTTAAAGCTCAATTTTGTATCTTTCATTCAGATATATCAGAACAATCGTCCAAATCGTGTTTAAATCAGAATGATAATGGACAACAGAATAATGATAGTATACTTTTACCGAATTCATCAATACCATCGTCATCATCATCTCTGTTTCAATACACCGTTGGTGACAAAGATGATGTTAGTTCTTTTTCTTCATTACTCAGTATTGAATCAGTTGGTATGGAACATTCGTTATTACAAGAATGTATATCATCAGCGATGCCACGTCCAAAATCAATATCAATGCTTCGTAAACAACAACATTGTCAACAGAAAAAACAAACGTGTCAACAGTCAACATCTTCAATATCATCATCATCATCATTGTCGTCGTCGTCTTCATCGTCATCATCACAACAGCAACAACCATCAGTATCACCAGCTTTAAAGTTGGACATGACGGAGCATAAATCTACGAATCCTTTTGCGAACAATAATATTCCTAATAATAATAATGTGGATTATTGTAAATCAAATAACCATGAAGAAGCGATAAATCATTGTCATACATCATTATCATCTTCATCATCATTATCGTTGTCTAAAATACATCCGTATAGAGAATTATCTGTTTACAAAGTATCGACAGCTTTATCATGTATATCATCAAATCCCAGAGCTCAATATTCACGCGATGGTAGTAGTAGTAGTAGTAGCAGAAGTAGAGTTAGTAGTAGTAGCGGTGGTAATAGCAGCAATCTGTCTCTGAAAAAGTCTAAAATACCTGGTCATAATTTGAATAATACAACTGTTTCAAAGTCGAGTGATAATAATAATAAAACTGGTGCAGTACATTTTTTAGATCATGGCTCCGACGATGCACAACAACAAGAAGAAATTTCGTATCTGAATATGAATCCAGCGATAATGAATAATACAATTACACCTAAGCACAATCATGCGTCTACTGGAGCGTCTATCACTTCTACTACAAATACCACTCCTGTCACTGTGAATTGCAGTAGCAACAATAATAGTGGTAGTATTATTACTAATAATCAGATGAAGCAAATTCAAATGATAAACAAAGTTAGTTGTGCATCATTCGGAGCAGATATCACAAATGGTAAGTACCGTTATATATATATATATATATTACGATGATGTACTTGTGGTGATTGTAAAATTTTTACTGTTATTACCTAGATCACTACTTAAAACCAGGAAGCACTGGGTGGTCGTGTCATCCTACCCATCAAGTACGTTTAAAGATGGTTACACGATATTACAAGTTAATTAAAGTTAAGCATCATAACCAGTGGATCTCGGCTCAGTAATTTATAGCTTTAAATGCAAGACAAAGGGTTCTCAGTCCAACCTCTGGTGGTGAAGTCGTGGATACTCACTCCTGAGGAATCCCACGCTAGGAAAAAACAGCTGTCCAGACTCCAATGGTTGTTTAACTAAGATCACTTCGTTATATTAACAATAAAACAGTAGCAACTTAATTTAGATATACAATGAAGGATTAGTAATCAAAGTATTCAACTTTCAACCAGCAATCTGTAATTTTGAATCCCACTACAGGTTTTTCGATTTACTCATCTGAGGAGTGTAGTATTACTGAGCCTCGTGCAAATATTGTGACACAATTTTGTACTTTCGGTGAAAATTCCATAGAACTTTGATGTTCGTTACATACATGTCATTAATTATCACGGTTTAGAATCCCAACCCGCGATAGTGATTGATGGGTTTTTTTGGTCCATATGGCTTGTGCTTCTCACTTTAATGCTATTATATATATATATATATATATATATATATATATATATATATATATATATATATATATATATATATGTAAATTTCTATTGGTCTCTTTCTAAATTTAACTTCAGCTGCAAATCACAATTATTCGAAATTATCACCATATTATGAACCTCGTTGTATTACATCAAATTCCAACAAAAGTTCATTGCCATTAAATAAAACAAAGTCTGGTTTACGAGCACCGTCGTCTATCGTATCCAAATCATTTGTTGGAATGAACAACAATAATTACTCAGTAAACAAACAAGATATTGATGTCATTGGTGTACTTGATGCTAAAGATATCAGTGAACTACTTCAACAAGGCGCTAAAGTAAGTAGCATCCAATACAATTAAATCGATAGGTTTTTTGTTCTTGTTTTCTGACTATAAGGCAAACTTTTACTTGGATGATAAAATAACTGTTATGCTCTCGCTACTGTTTTGTATTCGTTGGATACAGTCAGTCAGTCAGCCACAACGTAGAATTATGTACTTACGTACATCAGTTCAAGTTGCCATACCACATTAGCACAAAGATACAGTTGTTAATTCAAATCCCATAGTGGTATAAGTAGTAAGAGTATAAGCAGTAATCGGAAAGATTAGGGTTTGAAGATGTTATTGAAGGAGTATAATCTAATGAAATAAATTTGGAAAGAGAAAAAAGAAAAGGACGTGAAGAATTCAGAAAATTAAAATTTAGGAGATCACAAATTCTAATCTTCTGAATTGGATACATTAGTTCATTCACCTCTTCCTAAATCAATCCAAGAATTTCAGGGAGGTAGGTTTATGAAATTCAATGATCCAAACAACAAACATACAGCATTGAAAGTATTTGAATTTACATGTAATTAACAGAAGAATTTCCTGGCATGTTTTCGAATCATCCATTAACCCTGATCGATTGAAAGTGGGCCAGTCAACGTACGTTTTAATTTGATTATGGTATAGTTAGGGCTTGGATTATTTTTTCTCGAAACTTCTTCGACACTATGGAGTTCCTCAGAAGATTGTCGACATTATCTAGAACTCATACGATGGACTACAGTGCAAAGAGGTGCATGGAGGACAGCTGACAGATGCATTTCCAGTAGGGACTGGAGTCAGACAAGGCTGTCTACTCTCCCCCTTCTTCTTTCTTCTGGTGATTGACTGAATTGTGAAGACTTCGACTTCTGTGGAGAAACACGGAATACAATGGACATCTCAGAATCAATTAAATGATTAGGACTTCGCAGATGACATAGCTCTCCTATCTCATACACACGAACAAAAACAGATGAAGACAGCAAATGTAGCAGCAGCCTCTACATCGATAGGCCTCAACATACGCTAAGGAAAAAGCAAGATACAAAGCAAAATACAACAAAAAGGACTCCAACCCGATCACACTTGATGACGAAACTCTGGAAGATGCGAAAACATTCACGTACCAGAGAAGCATCGTTGATAAACGAGGAGGATCGGATGCAGATGTAAAGGCGAGGATTGACAAAACAAGCACCGCATTCCTACAATCGAAGAACATATGGAAATCAAAACAACTGTCAACTAATTTCAAAGTCAGAATCTTCAATACTAACGTCAAGACAGTCCTACTGTATGGAGCTGAAATGTGGAGATCTACTGAATCCATTGTCAAAAATGTACAAGTATTTATAAACAGTTGTTTACACAAGATACTCAACATTCAGTGGCTGGATGCTATCAGCAACAGCGTTTTATGGGAGAGGACAAACCAGCTTCGAACTGAAGAGGAAATTAGGAAAAGGTGTTGGAAGTGGACCGGACATACATTAAGGAAATCACTAATGTGCATCACAAGGCAGGCCCTAACTTGGAATCGTGAATGGAAGGGTAAAAGAGGAAGGCCAAAGAACACATTTTATTGGGAAATAGAAGTAGATATGAAAAGGATGAATGTCAACTGGAAAGAACTGGAAGGGATTGATTGGGACAGAGTTGTATAGAGAATGTTGGTGAGCGGCCTATGCTCGTCGACGAGGGGTAACAGGCGTAAGTAAGTAAGTATGGTCAGGACTCTATCCTCTTAGCATTAAGTTTTAGTGGTTCTATTTATTTAGAAAGATCATAATCTAATGAAAATGATTTTATTGTTTATCTAGACAACATCATTATTATTACGATAAATTTCCTTAAGCCACAAACATTATGTGAACTAAATAAGTAGTTGCTAGGTCAGTTCTATGTACCTTCATTGTTTTTCTTTAAGTTTGTCCTAATAATCACTTCGTTTAGGAAAATAATTTAACCAACACAATTGAAATGAATACATCTTAGTGTTTTCTTCTCTTCTTTCTGTACTCTTATTCGGTTTAAGTAATTGGGTTTTCTTTTTGAAAGTTAAGCCATTTTATAATCAACCTTACGTATTTTGATGAATCTTGAAATCTGTTTTTTTTTTAAAATTTTATTCTAGTAACTATGTAGGTCAATACTTCAAAATAGGACTAACTTTCACAAGTATTTTGTATGACCGCTTAACTTTGATTTATTATGCCATCATTAACCATCAATTATGCTTGCGTAAAAAGATTATTACATATTGGGAATAGAATAGAAAAACTCAAGTGTAAAACACAATTTTTTTAGTAGTCATTAAATGATGACTGAATTGTTTAACAGGTAAAGCAATTACATTATATTTAAGAAAAGTGAAAGAAAACCAATTAGGTGGGATAGGTTGTAATCTAAATTTACGTAATAATTCTGTGAATGATGTCAAGTGCTGTTAAAGGTATGACAAAGTGCCCCCGAATGCCCTGGTACGGCCGAAAGTGGGGTGGGCCCGACCTCTCTCTCGAAATGCTCTCACATGGCAACGCGTATACAGCCTCTTTTAAGAAAGTCCTACTCACTGCTTTCTCGTGGTGGGGGTGTTGTTTACGAAGTTGAGAGGACGAAAAGCGAATGTCCGATGACTGCTTATACTCTTACTACTTCTACCACTGTGGGATTTGAATCGACAACTGCATCTTTTGTGCTAATGTGGTACGGCAACTCGAACTGATGTACGTACGTACGAAGTTCTACGTTGTGACTGACAGTGAATAGTCATTAAGTAAAATGAACATCTATCAGCGGAAAAAATTTTCATTTTAACGATACCGTTGACTAAAGTTGTGTAGTTATTTTTCACTTACATTAATCTTTAATAAAAATAAAACTACTGCGTCATTCATTAGCAGAAATATTAAAAATCAATCCGAATTTTACGTTACGTAATAGTCATGAAATAACATGTAGAAACAAGATACGAAACAATACGTGTCAAAATAAAATTTAAAGAAAACAAGTATTCACTTGAAGAATATGAAAAGATAAGGAAGAGAAAACAAACACATGTTAAGAAATAACTAACAAAATACGAAGGAATTTTAAGATCATGGTAAACTAAGAAGTTGGATATAGCATAAAAATTTATGTGTCATTGTAAATAATTATAATTAGACATTAACACCGTTGAATGCCGGCTCAGTGTTCTAGAGATTAAGCATCTCCGCACGAGGCTGAGAGTTATTGGTTCGATTCACACGTACAATGTTGTAAATGCGTATAGCTGAGGAGTCCTTCGCTGAGACGAAACGTGTATCCTATGCTTCCATGTTTTAAATGGTGATCTAACATTGGTCGGTTCATGATTTCAATGATCTCCACAACGATATACTAATAAATAATTACATACTGTACCCTTTGATGATTTTTTCGCAATCACTGACTACCAGTGTTAGAATAGTCCCTGAACATTTAGTTTTCTCATTGCATTACTAATTATGAATGTTCTTTCTATTCACCACCCCTATGTCATACACAATTGGTTTTCTTGAATTGAAAGTTTAATTAATAATGTAAATTACAAGGAACAAAAAGCTATTTTTTCAATCTGACGCTTCATAACTTAAGTCACTCCTTCAGAGTAAATAAAATAACCGAAATAAATGAACACAATTTTCTTGGAAACTATATAGTCTAACCATGGCACTAATATCTATATTTTCTCATTCGTATTGTTTTTACAAACCATAAATTTGCATTTGCGATGCTGCCTTCCCACAAGGAGGGGTGGGGTTAGAAAAGGTCGACCCTAAAAATGCATATCTCGCCTTATCCCACGGATATCCGTATCCGGCGATAAGGTCTCAACAAGTACGGAGCTAACACAGAAAGATCGTGTGTGACCGACCTCAAGCAGTTGTCCCTTGGGAACTGCGGTCACGCTCTTAGGTCATTAAGACCACTTCTAACCCAATTCCCTTTTCAGGTACCTCTAGAAAAACCCTTCTACGGTGCGGGCAACCGGGAAGTGATAACTGCCCTCATACCTCTAACAGCACTCAAGACTGACTGATTTGTGAATGTTCTAGTTATGTATATCAGTTGTGTTTTGTTTAGGAATTCTCTTCTTGTTCTCTCTCCTAACTCTCTCTCTTCTATCCATAATTAATTACCTTACCAATAAATTATTGAATTTGTAAAAATAAGGGGGAGAAATCATTTTTCTTGTCCAACAATTCGTTCGAAACTGTTATGGTATTGTTATGATATATCTTAATTGATGTATTGTTGTGTAAAGTAATAATTCGTTAGATTTCTTATGTTCGATTTTATATTTATATCTGGTTATTTTGTTATTCACTGACTAACTGTTATCTACTTAGGTTGTGCGAAGACTTTCGTACAAAATAATGTCTATTGGAAAATCTATCTATAACCATAAAGCAGTGGTGAACAGCTTTCTGTCTTTCCACTTTTGAGATTTTTCAACGTTTTGTGCCTATACGTGGGTACACCTTCGGGTCCAAGATAGTCAGGCTGTCTGTTGAGTAAGATATCACTCAATGAGTTATTATGTTCAACTTGACTTAATTAACTATACCTTGTACAACTCTTTCTGTTGGGACTTCGCGAATCTTATTTTAATACTATCTACTATCGGTTAAATGATTGTCATCAATCAAGAATATCAGTGCACGCTTCTCAGAAACTGTTTTATTTGGTTTGTAGTTATTCCGTAACAAATAACTGCTAGTTAATCATTTGTAAATAGTTTCAGAATCCAATTGTATTTAAGTAGTCAAAACACTTGGTTTTCAAACAATAAATTCAACAAATTCATTCGCTGAGATTTTACAAATATATATTATTCCTATATAATGTCTTACATCAACTCGGCGCTCAAATACTGTGAAACTATTCGCTCTAATTTAGACGAGAGTTCTTATATAAATAAATTGGATGGTTTGAACTGTACTCCATTTACCTCGACTTTATGGCCGAGTGGTAGTGTTCTGAGTTCTCATATTACTAAAAGGCTAGTTGAAGAACTACTTTATAGACTTTTCAAGGTAAGTGTATTATGCTATCTATCGTTATTGTCAGTATGAAGTGGTTTTAGGAATTCTATTGAAGTGATGATTTAGACACTCACCATCTTAACAGTTCGCTCGCAATACAACAGAAAAGTCAAGCATGTATCCTAAAAGACTATTACACGCGAAAACTACTTTATCAATAGGATTTTCCTGTATTTGTTCACCATTTATATCTGTGTTTTTATATGTTTCCTTATCTCCATATCGATGATAATGTCAGTATAAGAATTTTCACGAGTGTAAATCGATCCAATTTACCTCTACGCTTCAACAAAGCTAAAAGAGTGGAATAAACAGTAATATCTAAAGTAATCAATGTCTAAACGTGAGAAATAACAGTTCATAATATGTGATTGGGATCGTAAAATGATGAACAATTATGAATGATACTTAGCTCAAGATTTAAGTAGAGATGTAATACAATTAACCCAGAATAGGGTTGGATAGAGAGTGAGGATGGTTGGCCAATGCTCCTCCACGAGGGATAACAGGTGTTAGTAAGTAATACAATTAGATCAGTCTGACCGATTTCGCTCCGCGTCACCTAACATCTCCAATCATTTTCCTACTCACTCGTAGGTTTCGTCCTTCCGACCCTACTTCAGTCAACTCATTAGACATCGGGATAAATCATAATGAAATGCCCGGAATTAGGCTCTAATGCCAGTTATCTTTTTTGTAAACAAAATTTGTTTCTGTAATTGATTTATTTTTTTTCTTACAGACTGTTGTTTCAGACCTAATGAAACCATGTGATTATATCAATGAAAAACAACATGATTCTAATAACAAATTAAACAATGATACCTCTATTACTACTACTAATAGTAATAATAATAGTAATAATAACAACTCTCAACCAGTTAGTAATGCTTCCAGTTTAGAGCTTTTACAAAAATTGACCGACTTGGAACAGTCTTTTTCATTCGATAATGACGATAGTAATACTACTACTAATACTAATACTAATACTACCGCTACTACTACTAGTAATAATAGTAATAAGTTCAACAATAAAATGATTGTCACTAAATCAATAGAGTCAAGCAACATTTCACCGCCATCTACATGTGTTACTAATCAAGTATCAAGTAAAGCAACTTCTATATCCAATATTCAATCAGTAAAGTTACATCATCCACATCAGTTGTCAAATAGAAAATTAAATAATGCCAAATTCACTAATCATACTACTACTACTACTAATAATAATAATAATAATGTTTATGGAATAGAGAAAACGGTAGTTTCAACCATTCAAAATCAATGTTCTTCGAGTAAATTAACTACTATGGGGAATAGTCAAATGGATCATAGTAACAAGAAAACTAATCCAAATAAAGTTCAAGTAATTCATAGTTTTTTTGTGCTTATTTTTTTAAATAAATGTTATATTGTTTCTAAGCTTTTAAAAGTGGACAAAGTATCTATTGGATGGACTTGATACTATGTTCATTATGATTTTATATAAAGTACTCACTTACGCTTATTACCCCTGGTGGAGGAGCATAGGCTGCACACCAGTATTCTCCATTCAATCCTGTCCTGGGCGATCCTTTTCATATCTGTTTCTATTTCCCGGCGTAACGGGTCCCATGGCCTTCCGTTTTTCCGCTTCCCTTCCATATTCCAAGTTGGGGCTTGCCTCGTGATGCACATTGGTGATTTCCTCAATATATGTCCTGTCCACTTCCAACGTCTCTTCCTTTGTGTATTTTGAGGCCTATTGATGCAGAGGCTGCTGCTACATTTGCTGTCTTCGTCTGTATTTTTTCATGTGTATGAGATAGGATGAATTCCATAGTGTCGAATAAGTTTCTATTATGTTCTCCTGTCGACACTGTCAAACGCCTTCTCATGGTCAACAAAGTTGATGTATTGTGCCGAATTCCACTCAATTGATTGTTCGACGATGATCCGTAGTGTCGCAATTTGGTCTGTGCACGACCGATCCTTGCGGAATCCAACTTGCACGAAACCTAGGTATTAAAGCTTACTCCTAACTATCTTAAACCGCCTAAAATAATTACTACTTATAGGTATCATTATTAAGGTTTGACTTCATAGTTTCGAATAAATTGAGCATTGGTTAGATTGTTATAAATAAATTGATATATTTGTAATATCGTAATGATCGTTTAAAGATCTAAATCCTAATGAATAGAAAAAAAAGATTTTCTGACGTTTTTTGATTCAATGTAATCCACATCTTCAGAGAATAAATAACCCAATCCATTTAGTTATTTGGGATATTACAAATATGTTAATTTATTTAATCACTAGTTATGGTCTGTGAAATAAAAGTTTATCACAGCGGTTAAACATCAAGTATCATTGAATATTGTTTTCTCTATAATATGGGAATATTCCCTATCAGTATTCACGTGAGACTCCCACGGATCGAAAACCGAACTGTCAATTCTCACAGTAAGTGCATTTTTACTCATACACCATTGAGTTTTCACCTAGTGGTCGGTATTTATAATTTCAATCAGTTATAATTTATTCAGAGATACATAACCTATCAGATCAAACTCCTGTTCTAATCGTTTAGAATTTTTTTTAATTATTATTTTGACGGATCTCAAAAGCTTTACTGGATAGGCAATTCCAGTTTCCAATTGTGTCTTTCTATTTTGGACTATTGATGATATGTATAATTATGCCTAAACTAATCCCGTCACTTGTCTGTATACGATGTACTACAATCCCTAAATTCTCACCATCACTTTACATGCTGTCCTGTAGGCTATGTTATATCTATTTAAAAACCTATTATAATAGGTTGTCAACGTTTTTCAAATATTGGAATACGTGGCATGTCAGTCAGTCAGCTACAACGTAGGACCAGGCACATATATGCATCGGTCCAAGTTGCCATACCTCGTTAGCACAACAAGATGAACACCGGATTCATAGTAGTTAATTTAGTGTTGGTAGTAGTATATAAATTATAGGTTGTATATAAGGATATAGTACAGGAAGGAAAAGAGATATGAAGCAATTTTAGTCTCAATGTTTAAGGGAAGATAAAGAGTGTATACACCTACGCCATTGTGATCGGTTCTGAGCCATGTCACACAGAGTCTCCAACCATTGGTTACGATAGTCACGCGGACCCCAACCAGGTAGTCTGCATCTGCCAACATGGCTCAGGCTAGAAGTTGGTGACTTCAAACAATGATGTCATGTTTTGGTTTGGCCTCCCCTAACTCTCTTCCAACCGTCCCCAATACTAGTCATCATAGCGCGTCGTGGTAATCGGTGTTCAGGCATACGTAACACATGGCCCAACCATCTCAGGCGATGAAGATTCATCACCTCATCAACTGATTTACCATCGTTCCCTAATAACAGGTCTATAATGAAGTTAAACAAAAACGGGGATAGTGGACAGCCTTGACGGACACCACTTGAGGTTGTAAAATCATATGACAGTTCGCCATAAGCTCTCACTCGACTAATAGTGTTCGAGTAAAGAGCCTTTACAAGGTTTATGTACTTCTCAGGTACACCTTCCAATGACAGGCACTGCCACAGAACCTCTCGGTCTACAGAGTCAAATGCTGCTTTCAAGTCAAGAAAAACTATCATTGTCGGACGCTGATAAGCGTGTCTGTGCTCTAAAACTTGACGAATGGTGAATACCTGGTCGATACAGCCACGACCAGGTCTGAAGCCAGCCTGATTTTCTCGTGTTTGCAGTTCACGAGTCTTAGTTAGGCGCCCGATAATTATTGAGGCTAGTATTTTAGATGCTATGTTGGTCAGACTAATCCCTCTATGGTTATCGCAGGATGATTTTGACCCCTTTTTATATATTGGGACAATCAGTGATTGTGACCAGCCGGATGGGATTACATCCGTCTCCCAGATTTTAGCCAGAATATTAGTTAACCTAATCGCTAAAATTGGACTACCATATTTAAAGACCTCTGGAGCCAATCCATCAGGACCAGCTGCTCTTCCTCGTTTCAGATTACCTATAGCCTTTTGAACTTCAAGTAAGGTCGGGGGGCCTACTTCAATGTTCCATTCTGGTTTTCTAGGAATAGTGTGTAGTTGTGCAGTAGCCGAAGGCCAGCTAAACTGCTCCTTAAAGTGTTCCGCCCATCGTTCTAAACGTTTAGGTTGGGAGCAGATAAGGGTTCCGTCTTTTTCGGAGATTGTCTCATTTACACTTGACTTCTTAATTCCGGTTTCTTTTATTAGTCTGATTAGTTGCCTGATGTTGCCTAGAGCCGCTGCCTTTTCCATCTCTTTTGCCTTCGTTGCCCACCACTGCTCACGATCGTTCCTTAGACTTTTAGTTAACCTAGATCTAATTTCTTTACGCTCTTCGTCATGTTCAGAGCCTGATGGGATGAGTTTACGCGAATCCATCAGTGAAATAGACTTAGAGGAAATCCACTGGTTTTTTGGAGCCCTATGGTTTAAATGACCAATAGATGCTACTGCTGTTTCCACAGCTGTTCGTATGTCTTTCCAAGCAGCATCTGTGTCAGTCTCGTTTACAGAACTGCTTAGATTCGTGGCATGAAATTATCAGTATTCCTATTCTTTAGTCAATGAAATTTTTGAAGTATCCGCTTATGTGTTTGTAACGTAATTGAGGTACGTGGCGTTCATAAATTTTACGTATGTAGTGAACAAGAACACCAGTGGGGACAATCGGATGTATTCGGACGCAAATTACAGACTATTCCACTAAATTCTGATAATCATACAGTAAACTTTTTATGTACAAACTATCAATCAATAGTCTCGATCTTCACTGTTCTTTCTGCAAATATTAGTTCATCTTCTCTGATTTCATTGTTCATGCATTTTCGTACCGATTGCGTTTCATTCCTGTTCTTTCCTTATCGATCTTCTGCCAGAATGCATTCAATGCCCGATCATCACCATATACTACTTATATGGATATAAGTAGATCACACCACACGTATCGCTTGTAAATCTCTCATCAAATCGAACGTGATAAAATTGAAGTATTTTTTTAAAAGAAACTGTGATTAGCTAATTAAAATAGAGACGTGCTAATTCTATGCTGAATAAGAAGAATCCATCACAATATTTATCATACAACATCAAGCATCAAATTAAGCAGATTGTATCATAGAATTTGTTTACGTGGCAATAATTTGAATGTTTGCATCATTCATTCATTTGCATAATGTATGTATCTACTTGATTGTGTGTTTCTGCTCGCAAATATCCATACATTAAATGAATCTATTCGTATCTAGGAAAAGTTATACATGTATCATCATATTGAAAGAAAGTATTACACATGGATTGTCTAATGTAATGTAGATTGTTTTATTCAACTGAAAAATTGGGAATATTCAAAATACTATGAGAGTAAAAATTACAAAATGTATGATAGAGAAATTAAATTTAGTCGGGCTGTGATACTGCCCGGGTTCCCAAACCGAAATACGTGGTTTTCATAGGGGGCCACACTCAGAGCCTTTGATCTATAAGTCTGATCCACAAGGCAGTGGAGTATCGTAAGGAGATGCAGCCCTATGATAGCCGGTGACCAACGATAGGTTCATGCACCATTTTGTTCCCTCAGAATACTGGAGCCCATATGCACCACTAGTTTGGAATCAGGGTTTTCCAACTCTCCCCTAGGTGGACTCACCGTGTCCACCAACCCGGTTAGAGCACCGGACATTCGCTTTTCGTCCTCTCACTTTCGTAAACAACACCCGTGGCACGAGAAAGTGGGTGAGTAGAACTTCCCTGTCAGAGGCTATATACACGTGACTATGTGAGAGCATTTCTAGAGGGAGATCGGACTCTCCCCACTCTCGGCCGTACCAGGGCATTTGGGTTGTTTTCCAACCATGGAATATATAAATTACGAGAACAAATATTAATTACAATCCAGCTTACCACTATTCATGTTGTCATACGTTTGATTTCCGTTGCAAGCAGTTGAACAGTAGTAGTGTTGATTTGAAAACAAAAAAAATATAGTGGATACATAAAGGTTTACATTTGGTAAGTGATAATGTTAGATATTAATTAGCGATTGGTTAGAATTACCTTTGTGTTCTTTCAGCATAAAATAAATACTCAAGTGCTGATATGTACCAATGTTTAATTTGATCATAGATCATTAAATATTTGATCCTATTCTTCATCATTATTCAACTGATCTCCAGAAACTCATCAGTACGTGTTGTTTAGTGTCTGAAAAAAAAAACGTTTTGGCCCTGATATCTGTTTGTCTATTAAAGAGAAAGTATATAGTTCACAACAAATCGTCTGGTATTCTAAAAACAAAAGCTTTGAGTGACAGTAGGTTGTAAATCTTTGATCATACGTGCTTTCCAGGCTGACTTATTGAAATTACGACTGTGCACAAAATGTTTTCCGATGTTATGCTCGTTATCCAAATATTTACACCATGAATTTTAAATTATTTATTTCCCATGTTTTCTACTCTACACGTTAATTCCAGCCTAACCTTGTGAGTCATGCAAGCTCTTCGATCAGCAGTGGTAACACCGTTTACAAATACAAGAAGAATGTTATCCATCCTACCACAACCATGAACGGCACCCATAAAACTACAATTTATCCTTATAATAAAAATACTTCTCGAAATTCCACTAAACGTACTATCAAACAACGGCAACAACATCAACGTATTGCAATGACAGAACCACCGTCGGTACAAGGTCATTCTTTAGCCAGTAGTCGTTCAGTATCTGCTGCAAGTTCAATATCTAATTTAAAATCAATCAGCCGATTAAATAATGAATCTAATATTCAACCTCCATGTAATAGTATTATTCCCAAAGCTACTAGTATTCAACAAATATCTGTGGAGTCGGTCTATGCAGCTCTTGTTAAACAGAATAAGTCATTGATGAACCAATACTCACCAAATCGTACATCTAATACAACAGTAAACAATAATACTAATAAACTTGTCAGTAAAACTTCTAATACTGGATTATACGCAAAAAATACATCTAGTCATCGATCATTTGGTACAATTAGCCGTTCAAATCATTCTACTGAACGTCTTACTTCAGTTGAAGAAGGAATACCATTAACAACAAAATTGCAACAGTCTAAACATAATTATTCACGTCATGAATCTAATGATTGCATGCCTAATACATTATTCTGTGGAAACTCTACTGTTGATTCAAACATTAAAACACCTGATGGTACACTTTCAAAAGCAACGGAGTCGTTTGGATCTGGTACAATTTCAAAAAATGACAATAACACACAAGCATCAGATGTTCCTAAACCTATTCGTGGTGGACGAAAATCTTTGATAGGTTTGTTCAAATTTGGGATTCATTTGTTTGTTTACTCGCTTTTTTAAACCATCATGAAAACTAATGAATTTATATTGTAAACTTCATGACATCAGTCTATAATTTTAATGATTGTGTTAGTCTGGGTTGTGCTAAACTACACGATAACCACAAACAAGTAGTTCAAGTCTCAGTTACACAGATGTATTTAGTGTGTTATCAACATTTAGATCTTGAGTTTTGACATCCTTTCTTCTAAGATTTTATTCTTTAATGTTTAATCTTTTTCACTATCCTTTACAATACTGTTATTTCGACGCGTTCACTATATTCCTTGTTAATTTCTTCTTGTTATACCGATGTGCTATAACAGCACATCTGTGTTAAGCTGTATTTTGATTGTGACTGACTGACCACATATATGTGATAGCTTATTTCATCATATAATCCCCAACCCAGTCAACCATCAATCAAAATTGTCATCTGCGTTCATTACCCAATGATTTCACGCACTAGTGCTACATTTTGGCTTGCCCTTCTCCAGCTTTCTTCCAACTAATTCCTACACTTTCAAATATCTCATGCTAAGGTCAGCAGTGGTTTGCCATACGTAATGCATGTCCAGTTCACTTCAGTTGTAAAAGATCCACAACTTCATCAACCAACTTTCTATCTTCGCTTAGTACCCCGTATCTAATATCATCATTGTTCACTGGGTGGCTCGAAGAGGATTTCTAGTGTTGTTAAAGGTATCTTAAGTTTCTGAATTCATGAAAAAGCTGTTTTATCCCACTAGTTTTCTTGTATTGCATCTTCCGTACCTAATCTTTTCTATGACCACTAGTGTTGTTACTACCTTTACTACTCTGGGATTTGCCCCAACAATTTCATCCTGCTGTTCTAATGACGCATAAGAACTTAAGTTGATATACACACATGCCAAGTTCTACGTTGCATCTGACTGACGGTGGTTCGAACATAAGCAAACAATGCTTCAAAGATATATAATGAAATACTATCAACCTATACATATTCCCTTTTCTTTAAAAAAGACCGCGTTTCACAGTTAAGCTCACCTTTTGGTTTAAAGGCAGATATCTCGCTCATACCATAAATGACTCAAATTAACAAAAGCCAAACAAGCTTTGTGAAATCGTCTTGAGATTTCATCAATTTTCAGTTAGAATTAAGCTATTCAATTCCGAAGCTTAAGTTTGAAGATATTGTTCCTGATGCCCCCAAATGCCCTGGTACGACCGAGAGTAAGGAGTGCCCGCCCTCTCTCTCTCGAAATGCTCTCACATTGCCATGCGTATATAGCCTCTATCAGGGAAGTCCTACTCACTGCCTTCTTGTGGCGAGAGTGTTGTTTACGAAATTGAGAGGACGAAAAGCCAATATCCGGCGCTTTAACCGGGTTAGTGGACACGGTGAGTCCACCTAGGGGAGTTGGAAAACCGTGATTCCAAACCAATGGTGCACATGGGCTCCAGTATCCTGAGGGAACAAATGGGGTATGAATCAATCGTTGGTCACCGGCTATCATGGGACTGCATCTCCTTACGATGTTTCACTGCCTTGTGGGTCAGATCTTTAGGTCTAAGGCTCAGAGTGTGGCCTCCTAAGAAAACCACCTGCTTCAGCTTGGGCACCTGAGCAGTATCACAGCCCTTACACAAATCAAATGAAATTTTTGCGGCGCATATATATTTGGTGCTTCCTTTGTACCAATATTTATGTGTTTAAATAAATAAATTGTTCCTAATGCAAGACTGGAAAAGCCTGTTTTCCAACCTTCATTCAATGTTTTGTGTCCTAACGTTTGAGAAAAAAAAAAAGGTACGAAACTGTTAAACTAGAAACAATAGTATATCATATATAATAAGTGTGCCCTAGTAACACCCCATTCCTAAATTCAAATTTAAATGATTTTAGAATCATTTGCCAATGATAACTTTGAAATTATTTCTTTTTTTTTTCCATTATGACAGATTCCAGTTTGTTTGTTTTTTGTTATTCCATATTGAAACATTTGTTCAAGATATATATAATACAATGTTACCATAGTAATTTGGTTTTTTTTTGTTTTTTTGTTGCCATCACAATTATTGGACATGGTATAAATTTTGGCACATTATAAACAATACCATATGTTGATATATATATATATATATATATATATATATATATATATATATAAATAGTAATGGTAATACTAATATTACTATTATTATTATTATTTCCTCAGTATCTGTGTTAATAATTTTCTTCGAAATTCTTTTTATTCTATTTCTATTATTCAATCTAATTAGTAAATAGTTAGGATGAAACGACCGTCTAGTTCTTTCAGGTTTTCCATGATGGTCTAGCTTCAATTGACTGATGATTTCAATTATATAAAAATACTTAATTTCAGAAAAAATCTATACTGAAAGATTTTTAAAGAAAAGAGAAAAAGAAAATTCTTAGTTTTAAGATCTGTTTCCATTCAATTTGATGAATAGATTTATTTACTTGTAGAATATTTCACTATGACCAATAGGTAATATGATTTTCTGTCATATAGATGGCACTATTTTACTCAGAATTGTAGATATACGATATTAACTCTATCTATCCTATGTGAATACATAAATAATGGTACAAGATGGCACCAAATATATGCGCCACACAAAAAATCGTCATTTCATTTAATTGTGTGAGGGCTATGATACTGCCCTGGTGCCTAGACCGAAGCATGTGGTTTTCTTAGGAGGCCATATCCGGAGCCTTTGACCTAAAGGTCTGATCCACAAGGCAGTGAAACATCGTAAGGAGATGCAGTCCCATGTTAGCCGGTGGCCAACGATTGATTCATACCCCATTTGTTCCCTCAGGATACTGGAGCCTATGTGCACAATTGGTTTGGAATCAGGGTTTCCCAACTCCCCTAGATGAGCTTTTCGTGTCCACTAACCCGGTTAAAGCGTCGGACATTCGCTTTTCGTCCTCTCAATTTCGTAAACAACAGTAATGCCACGAGAAGGTAGTGAGTAGGACTTTTGTGGCAGAGGCCATATACGCGTGGCTATGTGAGAGCATTTTGAGAGGGAGAGCAGACTCTCTTCACTCTCGGCCGTACCAGGGCATTTGGGGGCACGCTATCAACTACCATCGCACTTTGGTTTATGGTCTTTTTAGATTATCACTTCTAACCTTTACTGAACATCTTAATATTGTTTGCGATATCAAATCACGGAGACTAGCAACCATTTTGCCAATGCTTTTATCAATGAATGCCACGCTTCTGGCTATCTGTAGCTTTATTCCAACCTACTCCTACATCAGCGCATGTCACTTTTCGAGGTAAGCAATGGTTCAAAAATGATTGATTCATGTACTGGCCATACTTTTAAAAGTTAGGTATTTGCTAACTAATCATGTGTGACATTTCAATGTTCCATGGGTTACATTCAAAAAGCTTCATCCAATGTACTCTGTATAGCAATATTTTTAATTTACTGCGGGTTGTTAAAAACTGGAAACTTAAATCTGTAATATTTCTGCTATTTCAATCAATTTTCTTTATTCTGTTTCGTATTTTCTTTTATTTAGGACGAAAAATCAGTCCATCAACTGCTAATATGATGAATATGCCGAATAATGGAATACCTGTTGCTGTGAAACCAATATCAGCTGTTAAACCAACACAACATTCTTTGTTGAATAATAATAACAAAGATCATAATTCTAAAATCTCTATAGATAAGTTTAAAAAGTCGACCACTGAACCCTCAGTTGAATCGGATATTAATAATAAAGATGAGGTGAAATCATCAAAAGACATGAATGGTTATACAAAGTATGAATTTGAACAGAATTCCCGTAATCACGATAAATCTATTCCAGGAACTAATGATTATAATATTAATGATAAGTTAGAGAATACACCTCCTGGTATGTGGATCGTTCGTGAAGATCTGGATGTAGTTGTTAGTGATTTCCACTAGGTAGTTTGTTCTAAAGAATAAACAAGAAGTCAACCTCATAATTATCAATGATTATCAATAGCAAAGTATTATACACCGGTTACTACACTGTTCCTCTGCTTTCCTCATTTTGAATCTATGCTTTTATATACTACTTTATTATTTGTTAGTAGTTTAAAATAATTGACTGCATTTTGGACTTGTCAAATTAGTATTGCAACAGTAGTTGAAATAATATATTGACTTTAAAAAAAAAAAGACAATTATTTTGAGTTAATATCATCACTATTACTTTCGCTTTCAAAGTTATTTAACATCCACTCGTCTATTTATCATGCTAATTGAGCAGGGTATATAAATGCCAGTACCTTTGAATCTATACACAAATGAGAATTCCTGTAACATTTTCAATATGCTATGTTCAAGCTTCTTAAATTAGTTTTTGTTTCTTTCTGCAGTTCTTTTACTTTCCATTATTTATGCTACTTGTAAGTAATATATATACAACGTATATGTCGTTTTGTATATATCACCTCAGTATTCTTTTTTTTTGTCTTGCAAATCGCTTGCACATTCATGTGTTTTTATATGTAGGTACTAACTTTCTGCATACACTGTATGTGTGTGTGTGTGTCTGTGTTGGTTACTATAATTACTTTAATTGCAAACAACATTTAATTAAACCAGTAGGGAATCATTCATATTTACTTCTTAACTTCAATCGTAATCATAGCATTTGTGTTGGCTTTGAGCTTCCTATCCTTCTTTATTATATTATTCATTTGTGTTTATTAATGATCCCATTCTCTTTAATTTCTTTTGTTGAAGTTTTTGATGTACTTCATTGTATGTAAATGGTTGGATGGGTTTTTCTTTTTTGATGTAGGTTTGTTCTCTGAGCTGGATGGTTTGATCGTGGATCAGCTGATAATGATGTCGTTCAGAAGGACTTTACGATCAAACCATCCAGTTCAGAGAACAAACCTACATCAAAATCACCCACCTGAGCTACAAATCATCTCCACCATTGGTTCTTCTATTATATTTTAACAAGTTTTCAACCTCTATTATTGTTGTTGTTGTTGCATAATTGTTGTTCTTCTGCTTCTGGCTGATATTCCATTCTAATATATTTTGTTTTTTATTCAATACTGTTTCATAAAACATATGTCGGCATTTCATTTTGTATAATACAATGTTTTAAACGGAATTGTATTTTTGGTTCTTCAATTACTCTATCCATTTCTAGCAGTTAGTCAACTCATCTGTGAAATGGATATAGAATACAGTTTTGTATGGAGTTTAATTATTGAAACTCTAATAATTAAATTTACATCTCATTCATATTTAAGGATTATCTGATAAGAATAGTTGGGCAGTGACTTTAGTTAGTTCATCAACTTATAGTGATCCACTTTCTTTTGCATCTCACTTTCTATATCGCATTAAGCTTGCATGTAATCGTAGTGAAAGTTAGAGGAGTTTTCTGTATTTCTAAGTGCTAATTAATATTGATGAGGTTAGCTTAGTAGTGTAGGGGCTTAATGACCGAAGATTCTGAGTCCGACCATCAGATGCAGGTTCGTCGTTGAGCACTGATGAGAAACCCCATACTAAGAAGAAATGGTGGCTCAGTTCCTCTAATTCTTCAGTGGTAGTCTAGCTAAAATTAGCTCTTGATTTAAACTGCGAAAATAATACAAAACTATCGTTAAATGTAATTTGATTGGTTAGTATTACTATCGATTAGTTAACAGGGTTAAACCTGTCTAACTGCACGATTGAGATACGCGTGAAACTGTAATTCATAAAATAGCTATCCTCAACTCTCGAAGTATCTGTGGCGCCTAGCGCGTCTTTAGGTCTGAAAGAAAAGGGGCTGTGAACAACCTTGATAACAGTTTATCAACAAGCAAAAAAAACAAAAGCAAACGAATACGAAAACCATTGCGTCTAAAAAAAGATTAAATGGCAACAACAAAAATGAGAATAACTGCCACTGGTATCGAGAGAATGTAATTCTAATGATAAATACAATACATGTTATGAGTATATGTTAATATTAGACGGCAAACTGGCATTACAACATCCGCGTAGAAATTGCTAGCAATACAACTATATGCTGAACAGTAATAAGTAGTACAAAAGAATACTCAAAAAAATTAGTTGATACAGGGAGGGAAAGAATAAGCACAGAACGTCGACTCTGTCTTCTTTATCTTCACCATGACTTTGGGTGGATTATTCAGTTAAAGGAGATAGTTGTGTTTAAATAAGGTGTTGAGACAACTTTCTATTGAATTGATTACAAATTGGACTGTCTAGAAGGATAGTGAATGCTCTCGTTACCAAGCCATTCAAATGAGAGATTTTGCCACCATCAACTTATGTTACATACAGATATAATGCTTATTAGCCTATACTTTCATGAATTCTATTGAAGAATAGGTCACAGTAAGTGAGTTTCAATAAATGCTTCTGTATAAGTGGGAAATGTTTGCCTTGATCTGGCTAACAGTATTATTAATTACCCCTTAGTCAATCAATGCACTTATTTGGTATATGTAGATCTCGTTATCCCTATTGCTATCTGACACACATCAGTGGCCACTGAGTGGAATAAATGTTTGCTTACTATAATTTGTTGGTGAACGATCGGGCACTGATTTCAACCTCAATATCCTCAGAGTTATTCACTTGTTTATATTACATAATGACTTTTGTTAAAATAGCCAGTGGGTACTACACAGTTTACTTGTCCTAGTATAAGGCTTCTCAACAATGCAAATTGGTGATTCAGCTAATTGTTCAACTTGGTTAACATCTAACAACTTGAACAAATTAAGATCATTTTATTTCATCAGATTATCATCGACGACTTATAGCTTATGATGTTTTCAACTTTAAACCATTAGGTTAATTGAGAATTATTGCAGAAACGATTTGGATCGCAAAGTGTTATGAAAATTTGTCAGTCAAATGTAGCGAAGAACCAATTAAAGTAAAGATGGTGAATAAAATATTATAAATTATGTTTCGGAATATTAATAACTATGACTTACTTACGCCTGTTATCCCACGTGCATGAGCATAGGACGCCCACCAGCATTCTTCATCCAAACCTGTCCTGTGCAATTCTTTCCAGGTGTTATTCATCCTTTTAATATCTTCTTCTATTTCCCAAAGTAATGTGTTCTTTGGCCTTCCTCTTTTCCACTTCCCTTCCGGATTCCAAGTTATCGCTTGCCTCGTGATAAACCTTAGTGATCTTAATGTATGTCTGATCAACTTCCAACGTGTTTTCCTAATTTCCTCTTCTGCTGGAAACTGATTTGTTTTCTCCTGCTAAAATAACACTAACCAGAAAACAATAGCTATGAAAGTAATATTTAATTGTATAACGGATATAAGCTGCTAGAACTAGCGATACAACTGTAGTGATGAAGAACAAAATTGCGGATAATCCAATGTATTTAAACAGAAAAATTATAGAATTTCTTAGTAAAATCGGAGAACTATACAGTAAATGCTTCATTTGCAAAATGTCAATCATTCGTCTCAGACTTCAATATTCCTTCATTTCCCTACCACTTGCTTTCTGTTCCCCTTCTTTCCTTTTCGACCTACTGCTGTCAGACATTTTATTGTTGAATAGCTATATATACTACTTATGTCGATACAGGTACCACACACCATAAAATTGAAAGCATCATTGATGAACAAGGAGAATCTGATGCAGATGTAAAGGCGAGGATTAGTAAAGCAAAGACAGTATTTCTACAAATATATCATATATATGTAACTCAAAACAACTGTTAGCTAATTTCAAAGTGAGAATCTTCAATACTAACGTCAAGACAGTCAGTTCTACTGTATGGAGCTGAAACGTGAAGAACTACTACGGCCATCATCAAGAAGGTGCAAATAAATATAAACAGTTGATTACGCAAAATTCACTGGCCGGTTACTATCAGCAACCGCGTTTTATGGGAGAGGGCAAATCAGCTTCCAGATGAAGAGGAAATTAGGAAAAGACGTTGGAAGTGGATCAGACATACATTAAGGAAATCACCAATGTGCATCATGACTCAATCCCTAACTTGGAATCCGGAAGGGAAGTGGAGAAGAGGAAGGTCAAAGAACACACTACGCCGGTAAATAGAAGCCGATATGAAAAGGATGAATAGAAACTGTAAAGGAAAGCTCAGAACAGGGTTGGATGGAGAATGCTGGTGAGCGGCCTATGCTCCTCGACGAGGGGTAACAGGCGTAAGTAATGAATAATAGGCGAACATTTTTTTTCAAAAAAAGACCGTCTACTTAGTAAATTATCTAGTAGCATTAATTTTTAGAGTAAAAAAAATTTAATACACTTGATGTTGTTTACGTCTATCGTCTTTCTGTCATTTAAACGCAAGTAAACAACACCAAACTAATTTAAAACTTCACCCTATTGCACAAACTAGTGACTATCAGGACACAGTAGCTAAGCGGATAAGGTGATGACTTTTCAAGCTATCAGTACTGGATTCGAGTCTCAGAATGAACATCAACTCGGGGATGTAAGTACATTCAGTTGACGAGTCCCAAATAGGAAGAAACTCGCGTCTTGGATTCCACTGCTATACACTATCTATCTTTTCTTACAAAATTTAACACTTTATGAGTAGTTTTAATCAGAAGTTATTACTAATTATCACAATCAGATTTACCTGAAATAGTAAATATCTATACAAAAACAAAAGTTTTCTTGTTTAATTTTTATTCTGAGTTTTAACGATTTGCCAATACAGTTTTCATTACTTTTATAAATATCCTAAGAATCGAGGAAAATTAAGATGTCAGTGAGCGGACAATTGAAGGTGTGGATACCAATGCTTCGAGTAACAGGTTCCAAGGATTGAAAACTCGGTAATGAAAATCTGTATGTCATAGGTATTTTGTATGTTCTTGGCTTTTCTACTCGCTTGCTATATCCTCTATGTTATTTCGACCTGCTGGGAAGAAAAAGGGAGGATATT